ATGTGAGAAAATTTCGATAGATTACAATCACTAATCACCAAAAAAAAAGATCAGAGTTGATCATTTACCTCTTGGTAAGTTGTAATAAGCAACCTTCATTAATGTTGTGTGGGGCATGACATTCACTCTGTTCTTACTCATACCATGTTAGAAAGCAAGAATGCAAATATGAAATGTGTGAAGACAGAACAGATGTTATGCCCTACGCATCGTCGAGAAAAGTTGCTTTTTACAACAAAACTTACCAAGAGGTAAACGATCAAATTTGATCAAATACATGTTGCAATGACGAAACAGGTGCAGGTTAATGGAAACATCGACCTCCCAGAGCAACATCCTACACAAATACAAAGAATGTCATCACATTATATGGTGATTTTCTAACAGATATACATTGAAATTAGATAAACATTGCCTGATTGTGAATGCACGTTTGCTTTTTATTTTGCAGAAGAGAATATGGAAGTACGAAATTTGATTGGTTAGAATACGATTTTTGTTTTTATATAATATAAATATGATGACGTTTGTATTTGACTACAGGTTAAAGAAAAGGAAGGGATTTTTTTTCGATAAATATACTTGTAATTATTTGGCCTTTTCGATTTGCGCGTTATCTTTGGTTCTTACTAAAGTGTTCGAAGTTGACTAGGTTGATATGAATACATTTCTGGCATAGATGTGTTTCGACATCGATATTAATCATGACGACAGTGATGTTCTGAAAAATTGATTGTATCATGATTTTTATATTTCGTCGTAATGTAAACAGGATGCGGGTGTAGTTAGAGAGAGAACCTTCGTCCACGTCCACACACCCACACCCACATCCGAAATGGATAGATTCTCGGGGAAAGGGACATTTCGCACCACCTTTTCATTACGATCTCCTGTAGCAGATGTTCGTTACGATTTCCAGACATAAGAAAAAAGACAGGGTGTTCGGAATTAAGTGTATGGGAGTTCAGAATGACAAAAATCAATAAAAAATTGAAAAATCAGGGTGTTCGTAATGAAAGTTGTTTGGAAGATCGTAACGAACATCGACAGTTGCTTTTTTAGAGATAAAATCCTGAAGTTTGTCTGGAGTTCGGAATGAAAATTACCGGGAGATCGTAATAATAAAAACAGTGAGACCGTAATGAAACTTAAGGCAAATAAGTGTAGCGAATGTCTGGAGATCATAATGAAAAAGACAGAGTGTTCGGACCTGTACGTTCACATTTGCTTTTCTTTGAGAAATGTTAAGTGACTTATCAGTTTTTCATATATTCTTGATTATAAAAAAGAAAGAAAAGACTTTATAGCCGTTACGAACGTCAGAATAAATCTGTTACGATCTCCTGGTAAATTAGTTACGAATACCCAGTTAGTTTCATGACGATCTTCTGGCATTTTTCATGAAAAATACCCTTCGAGTTACATTCCGAACACCCAGTCTTTTTCATTGCGATCTCCGGACATTACGTCACACATAGTGGTGAGCATTCCATTCCGAATTCCCGGTGACACCTTTCCGATCTTCTTGTTTTTTCATTACGATCCCCTGTTCAACATTGATTACGAACTCCCGTCAAAAATTTTTTGAGACAAAATCTCATTTCCGAACACCTGGACGCATGTCCGGAGTTCGGAATGACGTGGTGCGAAATGTCCGTCACCCAGATTCTCGTTCGATATCGACATAATGTCAACGTTGATTATCGATACATATGATAATGGCATTTCCAAAATACATAGTACACGTAGTATTTAAATAATAGATTTATCAAACTTAATTAAAGGCAAAAATTTCGATCAAAACTATTTGTTTTGAATATTTCGAAAACATGTTTCTACCCAAAATAATTTCACTAAAACAATCATGATTGTTTATCAAGAAGTCATGAAGTTTAACACTTTCAAGTTTAACTTAGCCTTATTGAGATCTACCCATGGTCATATCATGAAGATGAATAGTCTTCAACAATTTTATGTTTTCTTATTGGATTCTTATAATCGAATAATTAGCTTGGAACAAAAGAAAACTAATCAAACACTAATAACCAAGAATAATCTAAATCTTTATTTTACATTATTTAATTCTTTATTTTTATTAACAAGAAAAATAAACGATAGACAAACATTAATAAAAACAATTTTAAGATTTTCTATTATTTTGATCATGTTGATGAAATTAATGAAGTCAAAACAATATCATTTTTTATTCGATTTTTTTTTAAAATCATTAACTAATTTTTGTGCCAATGACTTAGAAATCTTATGAGTAAATCGTAAATGACATTCTAATCTATAAAGTGTAATAGAACGACGTCGACATGATGGAATGGTAACATTTTGTCCATTATATTTTAATGAATTAACTCGTTTACGAAAAAAAGGACATGAAACTTTATAAAAATGATTAATCACATCTTCATTTTCATCAAATAATTTTGTTATTCTAGAATCTTTATGATTGGCAACAGCTCGTACTAAACGTTGAGCATAAACTTTTTTCAATTCATGTGTATACATGAAGTGGTAATATAATAAGATTTGACGAGTTTTTCCATGTTCACAAAATTTCATAGAATGATTTGCTTTCGTAAGACCATATGCTCCATCAAATGTTAATGGACATTTAGCAGAAATTTGTATGCATGATCTTTTTTTACCTTTCTTCGTTATTTCATTTACATGTTCATCCTGAGAAAAAGAAAAACATCATGCATGTTTAAATAACATAGAATTCATTTCATAGAAAACAAAACTATTGTAGAATCAAATTTACAATAAGTATCTTATATAATAGTTACTAAAATACAGAAAAAATAGAACAAGATCACAAAGGATAACTGATTTCATATAATATTTAATCGAAAAGAGGACTTTACTATAAGGTAAAGTTTATTAATGAAATTTTTAAATTGGAAAAATTCTTTAATTTATGTTTAAAAAAAACTAATTTCAATAGTAAAATTGTATTCTAGTTAATTAGCTTGAAGAATAGTTCTCTCGTAGAATTTCATTAATTTTAAGTTTCTAAAATAACCTCTTACTATCAAAAAGCTGAGACAAGTTCGCGTAGATAGATCAGATTTTAATTTTTATATTTATATTCAAAACATCTTTATTATTGTTTTCTTTTAACAATATCTATTAAAAACAATAAATTATATTTACGTGAATAGATTCGTCTGTATCACTATAAGAAATGAAAACATTGCCATCGGTTTTCTAATCGTTTTTTTTTAATAAAAAAAAACTTACTCAAATGCAATAGTTTTAATAAAATCATGATTGATATCCGTTAAATATTAATTATCTTAAATCAATTATGTTTTTCTTTTTCTTTTTGAAGTTTAAGAAAATGTTATTTACCTTTTGAGATTTCCGATTCTTCTGCTACATCTAAACATACACACACACACAAAAATTATATTTTGAAGAATTTTCTTTTTTTCGTCTTGCAAGGAAACTACATGAATTGATCTCTCATTATTATTAGGTCAATAATATTCATCAAGATATCAAATTTGTATTAAATAGGTACTGATCAAAATCAAATTTACTAGAAAATTTTGATCTGACTTTTTTACTGCGTCATCTTTCTAATCTCAATACGAGTTTCAATAGTGATTAATAAGTTCTGATAGTTCCTTGATTACACATCAGTATCTATGGCTCGGTCGAAGTAAACAAGAATAAATAAAATGAAATGAAAAAAAAAAACTTTTTTCTAGAGAAAAATTTCATCTTACCATTTGAATTTGTATTTTCCTTATTAGTTTTACAAACAGAACAACGATATGTAGTTTCTGATAATAATGGTTCGACTTTCACCATGATTTCTATTATAATAAACAAAGAAAAGAAAATTTGCAAAAGTTCTTCTAATTTAGTTTTTACCTGAACGATTTAATGTTATTGTTTGATTAATTTTTTCGACAATATCTTCTAATTCATCTATTGAACTACTAGATACATCAAGAATTTTTTTTGCTTGTTCAATTAAATTTTGTTCGGATTTAATAATTGATAATTTTTCATCAATACTTAATTGTAGTGTATTTACGATTGTATTTAATTCCTGACGAAGACTCTCTGTTCGTTGTTTATTTTGTTTTATTATTTCAACATGTTCATTCAAATGATATAAACACACACGACGTGAACAACAATGACATTCATATAATTCTTTCATTTTACCATCACATGTTCTATCAGTACATGAACCTATTTTAGGCATTTCTAAAAAATAAAAATAAAACAAAAAAAAATGAGAATGTTTATATCTGCAGTAGTTTTAAAGAGATTAAATCTAGAGAATCAAAAATTTTATAATATTTTATTTTTTAAACAATTTGTTATTTTTAATTCGAGTTCAATATTATTCGTTTAAGATCTTTTTTTTAAAGTCTTTCGTCCTACGTAATATGTTTCTATTTGTCAAAATTTATCAGAATTGACATAGGTTATACATAAAAAGTTATCAAAACGATCTTCTATAAAATTTGATGAAAGAGATATTTTCAGAGTTAAAATATTTCAATCTGTGATTCATTTTTCGAAATAATGTAATTCATTTCTCGATTAACTTATCATAACTTTAAAGATCATTGATTGAACTTGAAAAACTGGTTATTTTCTCAAAATATCCGCTGTTTCACGGAAAAATCTGAATAGATGGTCGAATTTTGCGTTTAATTTCAAGCGATTTCTCCTAGCAAGATAAGTCTCATGTAATATTCGTCTATAGCATTGCTCCACTTGTTCATGTTCATTTATCTAATACAGAATTCAAATCGGTATCATCACTAACTATGTTTTTCATTGAAGAAAATGTTTCTTTCAAATATTAATCATTTTCACCTGGTAATGATACCTGTACTATCGATATTCCTTTCTCTTTATCTACTTATTAAATCCGAAACAATGTAGGAGTTGTAATCAGACGACTAACTCGTTCTTATTTTATTCTGAGAATGATCAACTAACGCATGAACATGTAACAGCGAACAAGCGAAGAAAAAAGAACAAGTGAGAAAGAGAACAATAAAGTGATAACGCAAAAGGAAAGAAAGAATTATCGATGCACTTATCAAGCGTCTCGGTTACGAGCATAAGGAATGGTGATGAATGACATCCGTCACATACCTCACCGCCGCGATGCGAGTACACCGGCACGAGCTCAAAGACAAGACAAAAAAGTAGCGAAATACAAATAGTAAAAACAGTGCACGAACGTGAAAACAATAGAGAGCAATGTAGCAATAACGATGCAAAAAAAATCGTAGATCAACAGAAAAAGAAGTAGTTATAATATGCTTGAATAGAGATATTATACGCGACAAAGCACACAAAAAAAAAATCGTAAATAAGAGAGAATAAGTAGAGCAAAAAAAAATGAAAAAGAGAGCAGTGCTATGTGTATTACGTGCCGCTATACGGATGGAAGCGTAGAAACAAAATGACCTGCTTTACTTAGGTCAGAGAGGAGGAGAGAGATTCACTTTCTTTCTTTTTCATCTTCTTTTTTTTTGTTTTAATGATGAGTAATGTTGCAATGTTTACGTTTGTCTCGAAGACAGACTGTGTATGATGATAAATGAGATGTATGTAAGAAGTTGAAATGTGAGATTAGTTGCGAAGATGAACATAGATCGCGGAATCTGTCACGGGTGACTCTCTCGTATATATATATATATAGTGAATTGATGAATGATGAAGATGCATATAGTGATAATTGCGAGTCGACTAATTGAAACATATACAATTCGCAATATGATTGATTGACTCCCTGTTAATTGGGATGAAGGTTGTCTTTTCTCAACATTGAAGAAGATAGGTCGAAATGAATAATTTGAATATGTGGAGGAGAATGCAAAGAAGTTAGAAGAAAATTGTATTGTTGAATTTATTTTTGAAAATCAGTGGGTCCGGCTGAAGATGTAGTGTCGGCATGAATAGGAACTGTAAATACATGAATCTGAACGCCAGAGTATCGAGTACGTGTTTCATGGATTAAGTTTCAGATTCGGCTAAAGGTTGTGAGAGTCGATGTGCGAAGAAGATCATTAGTACCTAATATATGTAACAAGGGTGTGGGTGTGGGTGTGGGTGGGAGTATGATCAAAGAGATTCCCATGCTCACACCCACACCCACATCCACATCCACACTCACACACACACCCCATATTCCTTTAATTTAGATTTTATTAAATCTTCATCAACTAGCAATTTTTTCATCACTGTTTGCTGAAATAAAAATCTTCAAATATTTTTTCACAAGTACCATTAAACAATTCTTTAATTAATATTCATATAATAACCATTTGACAATCGATGATTTATTCATTTAGATTATGTCATGTATCAATCCATAGAAAATACTGCAATGCCAGAATAAAATAAACAAAAAAAAAACACGAATTCGATCTACTCTGTTTCATAGTTTTTATTTAACTAAAAAATTAATGCTAAAAAAATATGTTGATATGAATGAAAGTGATTTTCAAGTTGCTGTACTCGACTCATTTGTTTAATCACTTTTAATTCATCTTAATTATAGTGATACTAAAGACTGATAAAATTTCTTGTATTTCTAATCTATCGCTTATTTTTGAATACAATTTTCTTACTTGTATTATCAATAAACTTGAAACGATTGAAGAAACTAGCAGATGATGATAAATCGTCAAATTATCGTCTTGCGAAATTTCTTATTATGTTGTCACAAAGCAAGTAAACATGACTTGCAATGTATGGTAGGAAGAAAAGAGAAAAAAAAATATTTTCAAGAAAAATAAATTATTGTTCGAATTCTTTTTTTGTGGCTTTAGCAGTATTAGACTTAGTTGTATATGATATTATTGTTGATAGTGTTCGACATGAAGGTGATTAACGGATTTGTATTTCACGACAAACTGTCAATGTATTTCTTGTTAATTTACAATTACATGTTACTATTGCGTCATCTAAGATTATTTTTCTTTTTTTGATAATCTTGGATTTCACTTTAATTTTTGTTTCAGATAGGATCAATCACTTTTGGATATTTATTCTACACAATAAACAAATTTTAGTGTTGTATCATTATTTGAATTACGATTAATTGATCCATTTATTGTTACTTTTCGAGCATTAGCAAATAGAAAAGCTCGTCTTCTTTTTTATTCATGAAATTTTTCTAAAGTTTAAATTGTTTTTAGAATAGCAATCGTCAACCTTCAAATCGATGGTTAATGAATATAATTAGAATTCTTCGATGTCTTGCATAAAATCGAAATGATATTAGTTTACATGTTTATTTATGGATATTATGGATAATGATAATGAATTAAAATAATAGTTTATTTGTAGATATGAATATGATAGTCAAGCAATAAAAACCTCACGTAGAGTTATCAATAAGCATGCAAAAGCTTTCGATTGATATGATTGATTTAAAAATCTTGATGTGAAACTTTAGGAGAAAAACTAAATAGGTAAAAACTGATTGCCAATGATAGAAAATCAGCTCCTTTCCGTTTAGTTTAGTCCAGGGTGTGGGTGTGGGTGAGAAGAAAAACATATCCACACCCACACACCCTAGACACACTCACACCCCACACCCACACACCCTAGACACATTCACACCCCACACCCACACCCACACCCACCCACACCGACACCCTCCACCCACACCCATACCCATCCACACCCACACAACCACATCCACCCACACACCCACCCACCCACACCCACACCCCACCCACACCCACACCCACCCGCAAACAGTAAACAAAAAACGTGAATTATTAATATCCATTACGAAAAGAAAAAGCCAATACCTAGGTCATATTATGAGAAATGACAAATATCAACTATTACAAGTAATACTAGAAGGTAAAATCATTGGTAAAAGAAGACCAGGCCGAAGAGCGACATAATGGTTAAAAAACATCACACAATGGACTAACACCTCAACTGAAAAACTGCTTCACAATACATTAGATAAAAATGCCTTCAGAAAATTGGTCGCAAACATTCAGCAATGAATATGCACAAGAAGAAGAAGAAGACCTGTATCTCAATAGATATCTTATCCTGCTGTCTTATTTTGTAATACATCAGTAAACCGTTGCAATTTTTCTTTGTTGACTTTTTCACATTCGAATTGCAATGTGGTATATGTCTAAACAAATTTTTATGTTCTATTCAAACAACATATGTTCAATAGGAGAAATATTGATTATTAGAATGTGTATTGAGAGTTTTGTAATATATTACCTGAATGTGTGAGTGGAAAAAGGAAGTAAAAAAAAATGGTTGTCACGCGGTATCTCTGTTTTCTTTTTCTTTTTCACTTTCCTTTCGACATTTTTATCATAGTAATATAGAAATAGAACAACAAGAGAATAGTAAGTAGTGTTGAGAAAGCAAAACGAAAAGAAGAAATTTGGTATTGAAGAAAAAGCATGTCAGTAATTCTCACTTAATAATTTTATTTATAAGAGTCCGTATTGAATAAGAAATTGTAAACAAAAAAGCGATAAGAATATCTGTCGAAAAAAATAAAATTGCTAAACTATGTAATTTTTAAAGGTACATATCTTTTCGATTCCAAATTAGAATCCGATCACTACCTGTCAATTTTAATTTTGCTCATGCTTATGGACTTATCAATATTGAACAATGCAGAAAAATTTCCTTTGTGCTTTATACATATGACTGAAGAAGTAAAATATATTTTATAAAAAAATTCAATTATAATATTGAGTGTTTCCACTTTTTAAATATTAAAATCATATTCATCATTAACTATCAAAAGTTTAATGATAAAGAATTCAGTTATTAAACTGTTCTTTGACAGAGTGATGTCATAATCCTGTTACAGTCCGTATCCATATCTATCCTAAGCAATTACGACATTACATACCTCGCGTATCAAATCCATTATCATCACCAACATCTACTGAGCATCTTTGAAAGTTGAAGAATATGAGTGGATTCAGTGTAACCACCTCGTTACAGCAAATAAACTATGTATTTAGAAGTTGAAGGATATGAGTGGATTTAGGGTATTACCCTTTCCGTAATGAGACGTGAATGGAGATCGATGTAGCTATGTATTTGAAAGTTGAGGAATATGAGTGGATTTAGGGTATTACCCTTTCCGCAATGAGACTTGAATTGAGATTGATCTACCTATATGTTTAGAAGTTGAGGGATATGAGTGGATTTACTGTAACGACCACATTACAGAAA